GTCCGCAGTGGGTGCTGGGAATGGGTGGAGGGACTTTCCTCTTATTCCAGGGTCCAAAGACGATTTTAATTCTTGAGAAATAATCAACTGGCTCCTCCTCCTCCTCGCAGTGCAGGGCCATCTTATCCTGCCCAAAGCGTGCTTTTGAGAGGTATAAACATTAAAATTAATAAATTGCCAACAGCAATGGGGAGGGAGGGAGATTGCTTCCTACCTTAGAGTGGGCCGACAATGAAATTAGTGACCTTGTTAAATATGATCATGCTCTTCATTTTAAAACGCGTTTGTTACGTGTTTTCTTTCTTATTCCTTGATTGAGGTAAGATTGTTTTGTTCACAGGTACCTAACGCAGTTTAGAGTACAATATATAGTTTAACACGTAGGCTTTCGTGACGAATATCATCCATAAAAGAGGTTTTTTGAGTTAGATCGCGTAAATATATAAATGTGTCGTTAAATCCTGCCACCACCACACACAGCCAACGAGTAAGGGTTGTCACGTAAACAGAACAAGCCACAATGTTGTGGCTTGGCTCTCCAACACACCGGCGTGCTGTACTAGTGACGAATTGGCACGTTCTGTTTACGTGACAACCCTTACTAGTTGGCTGTGTTGGGTGGTGTCAGGTTTTAACGACACATTTATATATTTACGCGATCTAACCCAAAAAAAACCTCCATTACAATATATATTTCACTGAGGGTGGAGTCGTGGCACAGTGGTTAGAGCACTGCATAATGCATCCGGCAGCCTGAGTTGAATTCCCTGCCATGGCAAACATCGGTGGTGATGTTTGAAGCAGTCCTGAGCCCTGCCCTACCCCTTCAGCAACTGACCGTGACCAGTACGGTGAAGAATAGTCAAACAATTCCCAAGACTGTAATAGCGTGAAGGCCTTCATCCTGCAATGGATTAATACAAAAAAATAACTGATATTAGAATTGTGAAAATATCAGCATTCATGTCCACTGTACATTTTATATATATATATACAGGGCACATTGATTACGTTATAAACTTTTTTTTTTTGCAAAAACATATGCTTTGCGTGGAATTTAACCGAGCTCTGTACCATATTTGGATAATATCGCGCTGCGCAGAAATGTCATTTGTGGTGTAAAATTCGAGTCGAAAAGTCTCTGCACAGAGCTTGCGCCGCACATGGCATGCCCTGTGCAGCTTTCGGGAAGGAAAGGAAGGCGGGAAATGTTCTGCGGCTCACCACACACAGTCAATAGTTTCCACGCTCCTCTGAAGACGAAGCCCTATTGGATTTTCTACAACCCCAAGCAACATTTCTCTTTCCGTGCCGCTAACCCAGGCCAGGCAAGGTCACATCTGGACACGATCCGTGAGCCGGCGCAATTAATTCATTAGCGCTCCTGCTCACATTTCACCACCTTGCTTCAGGCAGGAGGAGGCCCTTTGAGATGATATCAGCGTCGCACCTTTGTTCAGTCGCCATCGGCAGACAAGGTATCAACATCGTTATACTTGAGCCATGGTGAATCCAATCTATTGTTTGAATTGGTTGAAGAAATTTAAAAAAATCATCGATTTAAATAGGCAGTGCTCCGCTTGGTATATTACATGCAATTCCCGTATAAGATACACTGCACTCACATTATTAATAAAATTGTTGAATGTTATGATTTAATTATGGAGCGCTATGTAAATTGGGGTTGCCACCTTTTCCACTGTAAGCCAAACCCGCATATATTTCTCAGTCACCCTATGCAGTATCCTGTAACAAAGTCCAACACTCATGCTGGTACCATATTTTAGTACAAATCAATTCCTGCACACAGATGCCAATTCCCAGCGATTCCGAGACCAACCCTGACAGATGGAAACCCTGTGTGTAACCTCGTCACTACTATGCTTGTCTCGGGGTTTAGGGTTCACTGGTTGGAATCTAACCTTAGTTATGTGCTGTGATGATATCAAACGAGCAAGCAGTCTGATCATTTGTATGGGGAAACTGATCCTAGCCTATGACCACATCACCCTGTTTTGGATGCAGGGTGGTATAGTGGTAACATAAAACACTTGGGCCTTACAGCAAAAAAAGGGCCTGGGTTTGATTCCTGACTTTGGCAGTTTGTATGTTCTCCCGCTGTTCCGCATGGGTTTCCTATGGGTATCTCTGGTTTCCTCAACACAGCTATTCAAAGCATACATTGTAATTGGGATTGGCCAAACATCCCAATGCTGAAAATTACTCAACTGAAATTACAAAAAGAAACATGACAAAACGTAGCAGGACCCTCCTCAAAGAGTCGTGAGACTCACCGAGGCGTTCCTCGTGACACGAGTATGAATCGGGATTGGGCCTGTTGGCTAGATGCTAACTATCTCGCCTGGTATACAGGAGGTCATGGGTTCAATCCCGACCCTGACGCCTGCGTATTTGGAGTTGCACGTTCTCCCCGTGGTCGCGTGGATTTTTCTCCGGGTCCTCCGGTTTTTCCCTCCATATTTAGAATCAACATCACGCTTTTAGGGGTTTTGGCTGCTATCAATTTGCACGTGATAAGCCACTTCCTTGAGCTATCATTTGTGATAGCCAGGTCGTTTCTGAAAAAGAGCTACGTAGCGCAGTGGGCCTTACCTGGATGGGTGCCCGCCATGCATAACAGGTGCTACGGGCTGCCGCGGGGCTACGTTGTCAGCAGAGGGCAGGCCACAAACTTTCTAATTTTTTAACACGTCTTTCTTTTGTACTATATCTGTGCTACCCACCTCACCCACAATGACCAGCGTGCTGAAATATGGTGAAATATCCCCCACCACCCACATGGTATGGGGATGCTCTCCTCCAGCAGTGGGGTTGACACGTGCATGCACACGAGTATCCTGTTGCACACGAGTTCACAAAAACTGGCCATCACGTGCCGGTAAAGTACCCAAGGCGTGGGGCATCGTCTCTAATTCGTTTTAAGGAATGCCTTTTGGGCATTAAAAACAGAAGTGCCAAATCAGGAAGCATGTCTGTAGATGAAAACCAATACTTGGGAAACAGACGCTTGTGATAGTGTCGGTGTGAATGTAGATGATAAATATATATCCGTATCCAGTAGTGGCTCCTGCAAAATCTCTCAGGGGGGGCAAATGTCTGGATGATTTATAAGGATAAGGTCCACCCATGCAATGGATAAATTAACAGCTTAAGCATGTAAAGGCAACTTCACTTCTTTAATATTAATGAAAAATAAAGTGACTCTTACAATACATCTTGTTTGTTTCTATACTCACTATTAATACAATCCACTCAAGTTTCTTTTATTAAAGATTCCACTAGGTGGCGACAAATAAAATTGTTGACTGAAACGTGCTTACGTATGATGACGTAAGCACGTTAGTGCGAGCCCTCCCGGAAGCCATAGAGAATGCATTGCAGCGCCCCCCGTTCGAAAAAAAACATCTCTGAATGTAAGTCTATGGGAACACTCTGGGCGATTCTCAGCCGGAGTGAAATCGCCCAAAAAGAGGCGGTACTCCACAGAACGTGACATGACGCTGATTGGACTATATCCAGAGGCACAGTGACGGCTAGCGTGACTCTATGGTTGAATGACATTGGTGGTGCGTCGCCCAATCGCCCTAATGAAAAAACCACCCCTGTCCGTATCTTATCTAGGGTTTTATAGAGCGCTTTTGTAACAAGAATAAAAAAATTCGATTTAAAGCTTTCGTGACTGCAGGGATTCATCTTCTTGGTTCTTTCGGTAAAGTCACGTAGAAGGGAAATAATAAAATAATTAAAATAAAACATAATAAAATAATTGTCACGACGTTTCGGCCACAACGCAAGCAGCCTGTCAGGAAGACAGTGTCTTCCCGACAGACCTGTTCTTCACCTGACAGACCTGTTCTTCACCTGAGGACGGCTGCTTGCGGTGTGGCCGAAACGTCATGATAATTATTTTATTACGTTTTATTTTTATTATTTTATTATTTCCCTTATACGTGACTTTTTCGAAAGAACCAAGAAGATGAATTATAAATTGTACATTAGTTATTGGTGGGTGGGTAACAATGGATGGGGTTTGAGTGCTGGGGAGGGGAAGGGATGGCAAGGAAAGGTGATGGTGGGGAGAAGGAGGGAGGGCGATGTTCGGAAGGGGAAGGCGGAGGATGTTGAGGAAGGGTTTCAAGTTTCATTTATTAGGTATAGCCCTGTGAGCCATTCGGCTCTTGAATTGGGTGCAACCGCAACAAACAAAAAAACAAAAACATGAACAAGAAAACATCTTAAAGTGACTATGTGCAAACAGAAAATCCAAGAAAAGACAACAAAAAATTGCAGAAAAAGCACCGTACACCAACAAGGGTGATGATAGGGAGAGGGATGGCTACGAGGTTAGGAAGGGGAAGGATGGTGAAGGTTTTAAGGACGAGGGCAGAAGCAGTAGAGCGATACACTACTCAAAAGTACACAGCTGCTGGAACTACAGAATGTTTATGACATGCGTGTAACAGTAATTCATTGTTGCAGACACTGTAAGGTGAACATTTTTTTTTTGCCTTTACTCTGTTGAACATCCTTTGGCCTGCTTCCACTGTACTGCCGTCAGGGCATGAATCACGCGTGTATCCTCTGGGCCGCGAGCTGTCGAAACAGGTCCGCCATCCTTGGAAGTCCCCTTGAGACAATGACCTCACCTCGCGGAGTCCGGTTGCGCTGCTGCTAAATGTATGAAAACAACTTGTAAATCCTGGTGTCATATTGGGGTTCCACGGACAGCAGCACAGCCAGCACTCTCCGAGGAAATTAAGCAGATTGTTTGACTCATGCAATGACAAAAAACAAAAACACCCATTGATTTACTGTAATTCACTGACCAAATACACTTTTGTCAAAATTCAAATACACTTAAGTAAACATTCAAATACACTTCTTCCACTACAGAGTTGGATTTTAGCGGAGTGCAACTTGCCAAGCGGGAATTGTGTGTGCTTGTGCGTTTAAAAAAATAAAGTGTTGTCGTTGCTCAGGTCTGCTGGGGATGGTGGCCCACATGATGTATACCACCGTGTTCCAGGTGACAGCCAGTTTGGGTCCCGAGGACTGGAGGCCACACCACTGGGATTACGGCTGGTCGTTTTGGTAAGTGCTTTGCATGAACGCTCATCTCTCGCGTCGCGCGCCGTGCCGCGATGCGACTTCTGTGATGCCGTGCGGCCACGTACCAGCTTCAGAGGGCCACGTCAGTGCCACGCGTCTGTTTGTCTGGCCCAGACGGTGGTGCCAGGTGCCGGGGTTATCGCGCGTGGCTCTCAATCCCAAATTACAATCGTGACCAGGGATCAATTTAGAGACATCATCTCTCAAAAGTTGATGCGATAAGCACTGCTTTGTGGGTAGGCCAGCTGTGGTCATCTGATGGGCAATTTCTTCTGTTGATAGCTGGGAGTTATCCAAGGAGTGGAGATGCCTGTAATTATAACAGCTCATTCAAGTAGGGACACTGTTTGACCTTTTCTAGCATCAAATGCACCATTTATAAATAAGAATGCGATTTTTAAAAAAAAGTGTCAAATCGAGCATCTCTCCTAACTTAAAGTTGTAAACCAATGAATGTTTCTCGTACGTAGTTATTATCTTTGACGATAGAACACTTTGCGTACATACACACATTAACGTAAGATTTTTATCAAGCTGGTTTCAATGAAACGTGTTTTAGTATTGAAATGAAATACATGTTTCTCTGAACGTATGTTAAACTGCACCGCTGGGAAATCAAACTCGCGACCTCTGGTTTGTAGGTCCAGTGTCCTGACCATTACACCACTGTGGCAGCATCCGACATTTATGGATGTGACATATATATATATATAATTTGGTCATATTTTACTGACTCGTGAAAGTTGTGTTTTAAATTACAACTCAACCCGTTAATGTTCTATAAATACATTTATCAAAGTGTGCAATTCATGTGCAGGCATGACATAAACTGTCTAGTGAATATTCATTTGCCTATCATTTATGATACTTTTTCATTTGTGTTTCATTGCTACATATATCATAACAAGTGCATTCCCCAAAAAATGTAGGCAACCATAAAAGAGCAAAGTCATTTGTTTGCCCTTTATGAAATGATGAGATCCATGGACGCACAGCAAAAGGGTAAAAATATAATCTAATTAATGGCCATGATATCCATGTATTCATTGTCATTGCAGTCCATGTCTTCTAAGGGGATTGGCAATGGCTTAACAAGGAGTCTCCATAAGAATGAATGTCACTGTTGGCTCTTGACTGCTTTAATTAAAACACACGCTTGTAAAAAAACAGATGTGGAAAAGGAAAACCTCACTTTTGTATTTCTGCAAATATTTGCAGTAATTATTGATTAATGGTGGAATATCCAAAACACATATTGTCTGGTGCACATTTCATAAATTCTCGGCAATTTCCTTGCAAAAAAAACCGTGTAATTAAACGTGAATTACATTGCATTAGTTGTGTCTTCGCAATATGTACACCATCTACTCCATTTATTTGAAAAATAACGTGTAGATTCAGTGACTGCCAAATAGTGAAATGACCAGGTCTTGCTGCGTAATGAACACGAGGAGTATTAGACATCAGATTGAATTACTGTCAACTGTCTCGAGCGATATTTACACGGCCAAAATTGGACAACACGAACTACTAATGTCCCTTGAACATTTCTCAACCGCAAGCCACATTAAACACACTTGCGCTTCAGCATCTTAGGAGACAATTAGTGTACGTGGTTTTGAGGTGTTGTATATTTACACGTTACTGTCAGTGTGGCATCACCAATTAATTATAACAATGACACGTTCGTACAAATTGCGGTTTCGCAAATTTAAGTAGCCTTAATTAAAAGAGGAACATCTATTCTTTGGTCAGGACACGTTTAATTGAACATCTCCTTGACAGACCTTAAAATTAAGCAATCACGAATAAAATTATCAAACTGAAGTACTATACGCGTTGTGACCGATCCACTTTTCTGAGTGTGTTTTAGTGATAAATAGATTTTTTTTTGGCATTTGGTATGAATAAATTAAAACCCAGTGTTGTTGCCACTGTCATTAAACTAATTAAATTCCACTGAGACTGATGCACACACACACACACGCAGATTATTCCTCCCCTTCCCTGGGCAGACATATAATTTTAAGTTTCCTTATCCTGCAAACAATTCATTTTGCTCGAGCGGCGGTAGATATTAAATTAAAAAAATAGTCTATGCAATGCCACAGAAATCGATATTAATTCTAGATTTGAAGCTTTCGTGACTGCAAGGATTCATATTCTTAGGTTTTTTCGGTAAAGTCACGTAGGTAAAACATTAAAATTAATAAAAGTAAAATAAAATAAAAATCACGACGTTTCGGAGGCAACACAAGCTTCCGTCTTCAGGTGGAACCGTCACAGCCACGACAGCTGTATCAAGTAAATGAGAGATTGCAGGAGCTACCACTCCGTTTATATAATGGTTGGAGAAGGGGGTGGGGTAAGGGCCAAGTACAGCACACTTTTTATTAATATGGTATGTTTTACCTACGTGACTTTACCGAAAAAACCTGAGAATAGAAATCGATATGTTTTTCGCTGCTCGGCGTTGGGAGATATTGCTGGCCAGGGCCAGTCTGAGCCATTAGGAATTGAAGCCATTCATCGTTTCGGGTGCAGGCTCCTCGCGAGACACAGTGCTTCTTCACGTTGTACCGTTACATTGCACCGTGCATGGAGAAAACGAGTTAATAATCGTCTCGTCCGAGGATATTTACTCGGCCTGACCAGAGAGATGTCTGCTGCATTGTTCTCTGCCAAAGTATTATCATTTACCAAGCAATTATTGTGATACTTCATTGGGCTCAAAGTGAGCCTAATAAGATCTGATTTGCTATCCTTAAAATAATTAGCCTCACACATGTTTCCACTTAGCTGTCACTTAATCAGATACCAATAGTAGATTATATGCACAGGTTGCAGTGTGCAAAAGCGTCGTCTTGCCGGCATTCATGACGGCGTGTACTGGCGGCAATGTCTATCCGATAGTGTGTATTTGCAACGAAATATTACATATTAGCCTTAACACAAAAGCTCTTACCACCTCGTGACAGACACTGCAAAGTGCACTAGCCAATATTCATAGACAACCGGTCAATTTTGCAGCAGCAAACATCCATAAGGCCCCTTTGTCATTTGATAGCCCTTTCAAATATGTCAATAATATTTGATTAAAATGGTACATTCATTTCAATAGGCAGGATATATTTGGTCGGTGTAAACAGTTACAAGAAAGAAATGTGTGCAAAAACGTCTCCTTGTGAATTCAATGGGAATGCAATGACTGCAATAATTGGTATAACTGAATTATGTAACACGATTTTTATTCCTTGGTAGTAAGTGTTATTATCTAATTGCTTATGCCTCAAAAGTACATAGAATGGATATTATTCACCGCAAACTTTGCTTTTGTGACCAAGACTTTAAGTGAAGGAATGACACAAATGCACACCACGTTTTCTCATTGAAAATATGTACATTTCAAAATATCACTGTCCTGGTCACAAAAGCATAATAGCAATTTCCTGTACTTTTGAGGCATAAGCAATTAGGAAATAGCACTTACTACCCAGGAACAAAAAAAAATAATTTTCACAGTATTATTAATGGAGTGGATTATTAACTTTGTTTTTGTGTCCTGGTCACAAAATAATGATAGCCAATTTCTGTACTTTTGAGGCATAAGCAATTAGAAAATAACACTTACTACCCAGGGACAACTTTTTTTTGTTACACTGTGAATTATCATGCATTCTTTTGGAGCACTAGAAGGGCAATTTTGAAATGCTGCGCTTTTTGTGATGACAGTCAGTTTATTGCTGCTCAATTAGATGCATGCCTCAGTTCCAGACTCTTAAGGGTACATTTTGTGCAAAGAAATGGTTGCTCATACTTTTCTGTGGAAATAAATATAATTATGAGAAAGAAAATAACCACAAATTTATCCTCATGGTGATGTCTCAGTGCTGAAATTTTGCCAAAAATCCACGGCAGAATCTGACATCGTCCATTTGATTTAGAATTTTGCTCATGCGTGTCCTTCTTAATGTGAAACTGGCCATCACTATATTAGAAGAACAAATAAATATATTTTCACCAAAACATATGTGCCTCATAAAATGTAATGCCAATTTGTACCAAACTCTCTTTTCTCTTCAGTTCCCTTCTGTCTTCTTGCCGAGACGATGGGGCCGATTGACATCTTTCCACCTGTTCCTGTGTCGTGCCAGCCTCACGGCTTACTTCAACTGCCGCCTTTTTTTTTATTTCGAGATAAAGTTTCACTGTGTCCGACCATTGTAATGTATGACTTACTGTTAGTAGCTCAGCTTATTGGAGAGTATATTTAGTATATTGATGATACTGATGTAGTTTATATTTTAGTTTTTTACGTGGTGGTTTTAGCTGCTGCAGCTCCATACTATTAAAATTCCTTCCCTTTATTATTGCTAACCCTACTCCCTCCCTTTGATGCTGCTAATCCTACATATTGCATTATGCACGGGCATAATATGGCTTTGAACCCCCCCCCACCTCCTACGCATTCCACAAGTAGTGACTAATCCCGTATCTGCATTTCCCATAAATATGCTAAATTCTTATTGATATGCAAATTCCTTTGTCAAGGCGCCCCTTTCCCCTCTAACCCAGCTTAAATATACGCTGCCAAGCCTGGTGGTGCCCATTCAGACGCTGTCTTTCCGACAGACCTGTTCTTCACCTGAGGACGGCTGCTTGCGTTGTGGCCAAAACGTCGTGAGAATTATTTTATTATGTTTTTTTTTTCCCTTCTACGTGACTTTACCGAAAGAACCAAGAAGATGTGTCCGACCAGTCAGTGGAACTGTGCTGTCCCTGTATTCCCTGTTGTGTGTGCCTGTGTGCGACACGAGTTCGATTCCCGCTCACAGCCAACATCAGTGACGATTATCTGAACCGGTCCTGGGCCTCCCCTAGGTCGACTCAGCCTCAAATTAGTACCTAGTACAGTGTGTAAACATCGCCGCAGGGGAGAAAAAGGCGGCCAGGCGTGGTGCTGGCCACCCAACAGCAAGTGC